ACACTTCGGTTTGCACGCTCCTCTGAGCAGCTTCGTAACAAGTCCCCGTCCCCGAACTCAGCTCCCACCAGCTTTATTTGCTCTGTGGTTTTGTCCGGTCGCCGCATTCTGGGCTCTGAGGACCGTGGCCACAGCCAGGCCCGCAGGTCTGCACGCGGCAGGAGACGCCGCTTTGGTGCATGCTGGGGACGGAGGTGCTGCCTCTCCGCCCGGGACCAGTGGACAGGGACGCCGAGGGTGGAGGATGCAGTGGGCAGCGAGCTGGTCTGCAGGTGCCGAGCAGCCTAGGTCGCGTCCAGCGAGGGCCCCGTCGGTGCCACAGTCCACCTAGGAAACAACCACCTACTCGAGAGCAAGCTGCTGCCGCCCGCCCAGCTGACCGTGTGTCCTGGTCACCAGCGGCTTCGGCCAGAAAGCTGCCCTAGGCCCCAGCCGTCCAATTACAGGTTCTTAGTGAGAAGCACAACTGAGATTGCTTCCCAGGTCGTTGGACCACACAGCTCACAAGGCCTTGGACAGTACAACCAGAGGGTACTGGCCTGACGGCACAGGGGGCCCGGCGGGGAGGGGCTGAAGGCCAGGACGCAGGGTGCTGGCCGCGCTGACTGCTGGGCACCGGCAGCCTGGGGAATGAGTGTCCAGTGGGGACGGAGTGTCAGTTTGGGAACATAAGGAAGTCCTGGAGATGGTGGCGGCGGCTGCACAACACCGTGAACATTCTTCATGCCACTGAGATGTGCACTTGACAATGGTTAAGACGGTAAATTTCGCATTATGTATATTTTACCACAATTAAAATTTTAAGTATACAGGAGATAGGAACTGAGCTGCGGTCCCCAGGCACCTCCTCGCATTCTGGAATCTAGAATCTTTGTTCTTTGCTACTCATTACTACGACGTGTCTAAAGAATAGAATAAACTCACTCTAGCAAGGAAATAATTTAGAAATGGACTCATTTAAAGGCAGGCAAATAAAAGGAGAAGAGAGAGGCCACAATCACACAAAAAGCATCAAAAAGCAAATACATGAGAAAAGGAAATAAAAATGAAAAACGTCCACGCTGAGACGTTAATAGACGTGAGCCAACGAACCGGAGACGAACAGGTCTTAATCTAAACGACAGAAAAGAGAATGCACTGAAATGTCGAAACTTCATAAAGTCCTCCGATACGTCTTTTTTAACTGCAAAAGACGGGCTCTCGGAAAATATCTGGATTCTTGCAGAGAATACCAAATCCCCAGACCCGAGTGAGGAAAAGCCGGGCTGGGGTGACATTCGAGAGCCATCGAAAAGTACCTGAAGTGGTTGCTGCTGGGATGAGAAAGCAGAAACATTTGGAGGAAGCTGGGTTGCTATGGCAACGGGAGTACCAGTCTGCCCATCCTTTCCTGTCACAACCTTGACCTGGGAGGAAATATTTGGAGGGACGGGAGGCAAAAGGGAAAATCATTTTTTAGGTTTTTGAAGTTGATCGATACTTGCCTTTCACACTCAGATGGTGGGACCTACTGAAAAGCGGACATCACTTGAGCTGCCACCGTGTGATTTTGGATGAGCACAGTGGAGCCACCGTTATTTGCCATCGTCATTGACTCACGAGTGGGCTGGAAAGGATAAAACCAGTCCCCGGGCACTGAAAGCTTTACGTCCAGTTCAGACGTTCCACGCGGCACGCGGCACTGCTGGGGGGGTGACGAGCCACGCATGACGGAGGTCTGCACGGCACGGTGACACGCCATGAGCAGCCGGGAAGGGCCCTGGTGTGCCGCTGACTGGGGAGGGAATGAGAATCCCCCCCGCACTGGAAATGTAGTCTCTCAAAATCGCT